TGGCTGTGTGCACAGTCTTGTTGTAGTTAAGCCTTGATTGTAGTTGGTATCACTGGGAGGAATTGACCTCCAGGCCAATTGGCTGTGAGAATCAGCTCTGTCTACCTACGGTGGGAGAACTTCTGTGCTGGACACATCCTTATGAGGCAAGACTTGCTTCAGTGGGGCTTTGGTGCTCACTGAGTCTGCCTCCTGAGTGTGTCCCTTATGGATCTGAGGAGTTGTTATCTGGATGGTCCCACTCTGACCACTGGGTACACGGGCACTTGGATCTCTAAGGAGGTGCTAATTTAGCCTCTGCCTGAAGCTACCCAGCAGGAGTAGAGAGATCTGCAGATTCCTCTTCTTTGTTTGGAATTTGGAGGTGCCCAGATGAGGTCCAGCTGTGAAGCAATGCAAGCTGCTGTGGGGCCATGGGCCTTCTTTTGGATGTTCTGGGTCTCTCTGACCCAGCTGCAGTTTGTTAGGTAATGTTAGATTGCAAAGGGCCAAGTCACTCATATGCAAAAGCCTCTGAGCACAGCTTGGGTGGGGCGGGGTCTCAGGGAATCAACAGGGCGGAGCAAACAGCTATGGCGGCTCCTCAGTCCTGCCCTAAGAGGCCCCGGGTCTCAGTGTCCCGCGGTAACCACTGCAAGCACTTCTGAGAGAAAGCCGCTCTTGAGTTCTGCCCGCTGCCAGACAGTCCAGCTTCTCCGTATGAGTCTAGGTCCCCAGAGACTCACCCGGAACTGGAGTTCAGAGCAGGAGCATGTGTCTCCCTCCTGAATGAAAAAGACAACTGCGTCCTCAGTTGCCAGCCCTTTCCGCCTGTGCCTCCGTACCTCTGTACTTTACTTCTGCACCTCCTCTGAGTTTCAGTGTGCTTTTCTCTTTCCTTCTAGTTGTAGAATATCCACTCAGCCAGCCTTCCTATGGTTCTGGATGATGTGCGTTTTGTCTTTTAGTTGGTATTTTGAAGTGGTTGTGGGAGGCAGCAATTTCCAGTGTTTATCTATGCTGCCAACTTGGTTTCTCCTTACGTGAGAATTTTATGTGTGACAGTAATTAACTTTAAGTAAAATGTGCAGTTCATGGTGTACAGAGAAATTCTGAAGCCAGTTCTAACTTGTGCTTACCTATCAGAGATCAAGAAGTAACTGTTCGACTGTGGAATCTCAGAGGGAAGGCGCTCCTGTTCTTTCATTTTGGGATTTTAGCTGTCTTTTTGTGTTTGTTGCTATGTATTAGATGGAACTGCTCTGCCTCCCAATCTTTATGGGTTCAGACAATAGGGAGGTGAAGGCCTGGGGTGGGGGGTGAAGGCAAGTTAAAAGAGGTCAATGGGGAGAAAAGGGGGACATATGCAATACTTTCAACAATAAAGATACATAAAAAAAGAGAGGTAATATTCCCTCGATTAAAGTTAAACCATACCCAGCAGAAACCGCTGGGAGGGTGTGGAAGTACAGGAGCACACTTTATAACTAATTAACTGTATGTGAATTGAATTTTGTCCTACTGCCTGACATTCAGAATGTTGAAAATCTTTTGATAAAGTGAATAAACACTCAACCCTTCTCTTTTAGTGCTCTATTTTTAAATAGAGTTTTTTAGAAGGGGATTTCACTTTACACCATATGGTTTCTCACCACCACTCATTTTTTCAAATCCAAAGGGAATTACAAAGCTACAAACTGTTTTACAACTTTCTTTCATTCCTGACTACACATGGTAGGCACAATAATGGTCCCAAAGATGCCCTTGTCCTATAACCACAACTTGTGAATATGTTGGGCTACTTGGCAAAAGGAAATCAAGGTTGCTAGTCAGCTGACTTTAAGATAGGGAGCCTATCTGGTATCCAGGCAGACCCGATGTAATTGTAAGAGTCCTTAAAAGTGGAAGAGGGAGCCGAGACCGGTTTGGCTCAGTGGATGGAGCGTCGGCCTGCAGACTGAGGGGCCCCGGGTTCGATTCCGGTCAAGGGCATGTACCTGGGTTGCGGGCACATCCCCGGTGGGGGGTGTGCAGGAGGCAGCTGATCGACGTTTCTGACTCTCTATCTCTCTCCCTTCCTCTCTGTAGAAAATTAATAAAATATATTTTTTAAAAAAGTGGAAGAGGGAGAAGGAGAGAAAGACATGACGGTGAGAGAGATGCTACATAGCTGGTTTTCAAGATTGGGCGGGGAGAGGGGGACACATTAGGTAACGTGAGTGGCCTCTAGAAGCTAAAAGGCAAGGAAGGAGGTCATCTCCTAGAGCAGCCGTTCTCAACCTGTGGGTGCAACCCCCTTGGGGGGTCGAACGACCCTTTCACAGGGGTTGCCTAAGACCATCGGAAAACACATATATAATTACATATTGTTTTTGTGATTAATCACTATGCTTTAATTATGTTCAATTTGTAGCAATGAAAATACATCCTGCATATCAGATATTTACATTACGATTCATAACAGTAGCAAAATGACAGTTATGAAGTAGCAATGAAAATAATTTTATGGTTGGGGGTCACCACAACATGAGGAACTGTATTAACGGGTCGCGGTATTAGGAAGGTTGAGAACCACCGTCCTAGAGCCTCCAGAAAAGAATGCAGCCCTGAGAGTGGGACCATCCAGTTTGCAGCTCCGTGGAACCATAAAAGACACACTCAGGGGGCAGACTCAGTGAGCACCAAAGCCCCATCGAAGCAAGTCTAGCCCCAGAGGGGTGTCTCCAGCACAGAAGTTCTCCCACTGCAGACACAGCTGATTCTCACAGCCAACTG